TTAACTTGACCATACGAATGCATATTGGACGCCGACAACCGGTCAGAAAGAAAAAAAATAAAAAATGATAAATTTTTGCATTTTTGACTTTTTTAAGCGGTGTTTAGGCATTTACGCCATTAATATGAATACGAAAGTGTGCCTAAACGGTGTCGTCGTGTACTAGATGATATTCTACCCTTAAACTACCCAAAACGTTCAGTGGCTGCCTTGTGGGCTCGAAATAACCGAAAAAACGGCAATTTTGGCCGCCATCTTGGATTTAAGGGCTTAAATGTCAAAATCGGGTCTGGCAACAGGGCGCATCGTTTTCAGCGGGGGCAAATTAGTCTAGAACCGCCTGTTGCCAGTTTGTAGCACAAAACGCCGTTAGACATGATTTAGAGAGCCTTTTTCAGAAATGTCTCCCTGACTACTATCCTTTTTTGAGAGGAACGTGCTCTGCTAAAGGAAAGGGGGGCAGACACAATGGGACTTTGGTGAGTCCAATGGATTTCGTAAGAAATGATCACCTTAGTTAGAACAAATATTAATTTTGATCAACTATCGGCAAGTATTGGCAATTGTACAATTAGTTGGGTTAAGAAAAGTAAAAACCTACGAGTAGTATTTGATCAGAGAAGTTTGAATTTGAAGTCTAACGGGGCGCTTTCTTCAAACTGAAAACATTGCAGTACCTAAAACGTATTTACGTATATTGACCACTCACTGGCCACTAACCCAAACAATTTCAGCTTCACGTTCTAAATCTATTTTTATGAATTACTGTCACTAGGAACTTCCGTGGAACCTACCACACGAAGCAAGGGAAGGAGAAGAACGGACATTTTTCATAATGATGACCCTAACATAAACTAATACCATTACCTACTTAAAATCAGATGTACCTCATATGGTCCTATTTTTGTACCTACATTGGGTAATTATACTTCAGAAGGCCAGAACGCTGTTTGATTTTCCGTCATTCTCCTAGATAGCGGCTCACCTACACCCTACCTTCCAATTATGTTCACTAATCCTACAATCACTGATGAGGCTACCTTTTCATCAACAATGGAAAAATAATACTACGCTATGTTTCAGAACATAAATCTAGAGAAAAATTAATAAAAGTTGTGCTGGGAACACAAGCTCATTAAAGTCATCTACTTCCCATAGAACCTTAATTCACCCGATTTTTCAAGAATTTTATGAAAATATACTCGTTGAGCTTTCAGTGGAGATAAGTATAACTAGCACATTCACAACAGATTCGAAATCAAGTCCTAGTTCTACAACTGATTTTTTCTATTTCGGTGTCACAATGATGATTTTGTACAAACAGTTGCACAAAGACAGTGATTATAGTCGTTTTTTTTGGTAACTCATCTCTTAAGTTGGCAGTTACTAGTTAGTACAAGTAGGTACTTCGTTGGGTACTTCCATGTTTGAACTTCAAAATGTCAGTCTTACTACGCTGCCAACCTAAAACTTAACGGCATAAAAAGTGTTCCCAACATAAAACATGTTAGTTCTAATGTTCCCTCTAGTTTCTGATAATGATTTTTTTAATTAAATTAAAGCACCGAAATAGAAAAAATAGAATGAAAAACTCGTGTTACAATGCTTTATTGTAATACTCCTATCTTGCGGACACTCGTGGCTACGCTTCGCGTCGCCACTTGTGCCACAAGATAGTCGTATTACAATAGGTCGCATTGTAACACTTGTCTTTCAATATACTATTTACCGCACACCTCTGGGAAGAATATATTTCTTGGGAGAAGCGGGGGTAAAGGAATTTTTTTTAATGACAGTTGCTAGGTATCGTTTCGTTAAATCGTTATTTAAATATAGATTTTTATGCGTGCCTAAAGTTATGTGTTCCATTAGATTCAAATGAAACGCGCCCCACTTGCAAAGTTTCGAAATTCAATTATCTGCATGTTAATCTACAATTTTCATGTGTTTCTTTTTCAAAATCTTCTGTGAACTATAATCTAAAGTGTTAGTAAGTATACGTCTAGTATCTAGATAATACGATGCTTTACTGGCAGAATATCGTGATGATAAACGGGAATTTTTAAAAACGTATCTATTCTTAAATTTACTAAGTAATAGGGATTGATATATTGTGAATTAATTTGTCTTCGGAATTCGACTCACCATAAATTGTGAGCAAAAGTATATAATTAAAAAAAATTCGGGACGAATTATCGTTCGGGAGTTTAAGGTGTAAATTATTAACAGCTTTGCCCATATCAAAGCCAAATAAAATAGTGAAAAAGAAGTATTCCTTCTGGAGGGCTTGATTTGTCCGCATACTGCGTTGAGTTTAAATTTTTAATCATAAAGCAGAAAGCTCTCACAAGAAGTAAGTACCGTACATGAGGTTGAAAGAGTTCAAGTTAAAATTCCATAAAAGTAGTACACCTACATGGCACACTAATGCAAACAGAACATCAATAGAGCTTAGACTTTCATTTCTCTTGACTTGCGCTTACCGCAAAAATAAAGACAATCCTTGCAGCAAGCAAGAGCCTTAGAAACTCATCGAAAGGAAAATTGATAAAAACCAATGGAATATACACAGATATATGGAAACGTGGAATTCGATGAAAACGCTCGAATTGGCTTCAGGAATATAAACGATATCCTTAAATAGCGATGATCTTACGTGACGTACGTCTACCTATACGCTACCGATTAACGTTTTCGTCTACTTTTGAGTTTTTAGTAAATGAACTGTATAATAATATAATGTTATGATAAACGCAAGAAATAATTACAAAAAGAACACCTTTACAAAGCAATAAAACGAAATTTTAACGGTTTATTATTGTTGTTGAACAATGCAGGAACATGTACAAAATCGAATACTACAACGAATACTAATAAATGCCGTCTATGAACAATTTATTTATAGATGGCCTTAAAACGAGCATAATCCACAGGTGGCCATGTGAGAGTTCGCCTTAATACTACATGTTAATAATGAATTACCTTTTAATGGATACCCCTTACTAAACGATGCGCAGGTGTTTTACTACCCTTAGGGGATTTGAATCATTGAAGCGCTCAATCTTTAAAAAATACACATATCTAACAAAACAAATTTAAATAATGCGAATTCGTACCAAATTTAACTTGTACGAAAACCGCATAAACTCAAAAAATAGTTGAATGAAAATGAAATTACCTATACAACATCGGCCGGCAATAAAGGAACCTGCGAGGCATTTTTGAAATTAGCGTAGTATGGGAACTGGTTTTAACTCCGGTAACCTAGCTTTATGATGTATAATGCACTCATACAGCTAGATAACCAAAGAAAATATCGGTTCCACGTTAATAAAGTAAGCCGCCATTTTCGTAGTCGAATCACACACGTGTTTAATTCACTTTTTTGCACCGCGTAATTACAAAACTATCACCATCACATTTCCGTTCTTGTCGATAGTTTGAAAAGAACTGACCAAACGCGCGAAACGGGACAATCAAGTAGGACAAATGGCTGGCTTTCCCCATCGTTGTTCGAACAGTCGTCGAACTTGATCGGAAGAAACCAGTTTTCAAGTCAAGCCCAGCAACCTGTTTCTTGGGTGTTTGTTATACACTGCCAAACTTTCTATTCTAATATAAAATCGAAGCTTACTCTTGCGAAAACACGAACAATACTCAAGCAATGCATCGAATGCACTTTGGTAGATGATGAACTGATGATGTTGTAACTGGACGTTTTTGTGGGAAACCCCCTCCGCCCAAAAGTTAGGATTTTTACCTGCCAACCCTCTTCGAAGGAGAACCGTCACGTTGTGGACTTCCTTTTTTAATATTAGAATGTTATCTTCGCAAAGTGAATACGTAGCCGCCACGTTTAACCCGGAATCGACAGTTTTCACACAACGATTCTTCGAAAAATACTTACGAGGGACCACGGTGCGTCATCGAATTGAACATTATCCAAGATATTAACATAACCGGTCCAGCCAGTCGAACTTCATTCCTCCGCGACCGCGTCTAACCTCCCGCACTGCAACAGCCATTGTGCGACAGGAATGCGGTTTTCAGTCCGGTGGGAAAGAAACCACCGTGTATTTTCAAAGTGATACTAAGGACGGTTTCATTATGCAAAACAATTAGGAAGAAATGAGACATTCTACTTTTCCGAAATTTTTACCTTTTACTAAACCGAATTGGAGAAGCGGTTATTACAAAGATGGGATAATGCATATGTAAAGAATCCGCCGTTGGCACAATCTTTTGTCTCAAGCGGTCGGTGCTCTTCCAAGGCCATCAAGTTCGTCGGTAGGAGACGTCGAAAAATATTCTCGGTGTAGTGTAGGTGATTACCCATACCCCCATGTCTCGCTAACTACAATTCAACGGTAGTCTTATTGCACATTCTCTTCCCCTCGCTAAAGCATCCTAACCGAAACGTTCGTCCTTCCAAATTCTTTACCAAACGTATGAGAAACGCGGGCGATCTTTCAATTACACCAATACCGTTTTCGTTTAACTTATAGAAAATATTAAGATAATAATTATTACCAATTACCAATTTACGTACACATTGAACATGCGCGTAATTTTGTTCCTGTGGACTACCGCCCACTTCGTAGAGCGGATCCCGGGATAGCGAAAATCTCAACGGAAACGTCAATACTTCATAGGATGCATTTTAATAGACAATAAACTTTACTAAAATTGTCTCACAAAAAAAGTAACATTCGTCTTAATCACCAAAATGAAATTCGCTTATTTTTCAGTTAGCTCTAAACGAGCTTGTGGCAAGATAAATAAAGTATACAAAACGGGGAAACTTTCCCTTAATTGCTGTCCGGATATTTGTAATTAGTTACGAATCCGAATGCATTGCAAAACAATTTTCAAATCTTGCTGGTTAGGGGGTAAAAACCGAATGCGCTCGAGTTTCTACGACAGGAAAACAAGGATAACAAACGAACTCTATCAAGGGATGAAAAGATGCTAGGGGTGGCAGTTGAAGCCGGGCTCGTGTTAAGGGTAGATGTATCCAAACATAAGCCGGTCGTTACAGGTATACTGCACTCGATGTTAATGCATGTGATTGTTCTTAAAAAAAAATTATCAAATTTGAACGCAACCCATAATGCATTTGTTGGTTTCACTCCCAATTTATAACCAGGTACTTGGATTTTTATATAAAATAAGCATAATAAAGAAATTTGAAACTTTTTAGAATGGAATATATCACAAGTTTATACGGGTGTATGTTCCTTGTGGGATTACTGGGCAATGGAAGCCTCGGATTAACGCTTTGCTGCGGACCGGGTGCGAAAGCTCGTAGTCCTCTGCTGTTAGGTTTGGTGGCCGCAGATTTCTTAGTGTGCTGTTTAAGTGGTCCAGTCACTGCGGCTATATATGTTACTTCAACTTTAAGCCAAACCTGGCTTCGCGTTGCCCTCTTCGTTCAGGTACGTCTTTGCGAAAGGTGGTAATGGGAAATATAATCACATTTTTAGGCCTGGCCGGTCTCCGCCAGCACATTATCAATGATGGCAATCTCAGTCGATCGCTATCTAACGGTCAAAAATTATCGTCCCGCTGCTCAGGTCGTGCGAAGAAGACATCTTTTAGCCTTCGCGTCAGTCGTTGCGTGGATTTTAGCGGCCCTACTGTCAAGCCTTCAGTTAATCCAAAGAAATCCGTGGAGAACGAGCTTACTTATTATAAGGGCTGTCCTTGCACACGTCGTGCCAATTTGTGTCGTTTTTGCGAGTCACTTGGGAGTGCATTCAAAATTAACGGCTCTTTCACTTACGGCTCGTGCCAAACACGGCGAATTACCACTTCCTATGCCATTACTACGGAGGCCCACTAACGTAATTATTGTCGCCGGAATTCCTAGTGGAATTGATAATAAGGTAATTTCAGCGATTTCGAATAAAATTTGAGTAGTCGTTTGCAGGCTTTAACTTCTGAACAGAATGGCAAGAAAAAAGCTGAGTTGGATACCGAAAACGCCGAACAACCACCTACTAGTACTTTGCAAAGCCGAAGACGACTAGCTAACGCGTTAATGTGGATGGCATTCGTTTTTGCCGCGTGCTGGTTACCTTACGTGCTGTGTATAATTTGTGCAGAGTTTAATACGGTCCCTTCAATTTGGTTAATACGTTACAGCCTCTTCTTAGGCCACGTACATTCGGCGTTCAGCCCGTTGCTGTATTGGGCTTTAAACCACAAGTGGCTGCAGCCTCCTTGTCGATTTCGTTTACCAGTTCTTTACCGCAACGCGTCGTCAACGAACGAAGCTGCGTTGGGACCATTTAACCCCCGTTTTGCGCGACCGCCACCTGTCCGTCGGCAGTCATCACATTATCTCTACTGACTGTGATCGTTTTTCTTAGCCGAGAAAAGTATCTCAGGGCACAAATCTTTGTTTCTCGTTAATTATGTAAAAAAAAGATATCATGTAGATGTCGCGACTTAAAAGAAGCATGAAATGTGACCAATATCCTAAATTTCTACACAATTAAAATTTTCTCGTCCAAAACCAATCTTATAATATTAATAAACGTGTTCCTTTATTGCAACAGGTGTCGTCGATAAAGAAAATCTCCGACAAACGAATTCGCATCGAAAAATCTAGTTTGATCTTTAATTTACTCAAACCAAAGATATAAAAGAAAGCGAGGCGAGTTGTGACTGTTGCCGAGGCCGACTAATGTACTATTTTGTTACACTTGACAATCAGTCGGCATGTTTTTACGTGCCTTTCTATAGCTAAGCGTTACAATAATAATATTCTTCTATTTCTGTATTGTAGAGGATTGTCTCTTTAAGTATTATTAGATCTATCTAAACGTTACCTCTTTGTTGGAAATAAATATAAGTGTTGACTATAGTTTTATTTTTTCACGGTAACAATTCTCAAATGCGTATGTGAAAAGTGGAAAGAAAATCGGGGGCTCGTGTAATAACATGTTCAAATTCCATATACGAAAGCTTCCCGTCACCATCAACATCGCCCTCTTCAATAACCTTTTCAACTATTTGCTGCATCTCTTCCGACGTTAATTCTTGTCGTGTAAGTAGTCGTAAAGCCTGGTGTAAGTCTTCGGGACCAACGTGTTGATCGCCATCGAAATCTAAGCTCCAGAATTAGACGAAGAAAAAACATTTTGGCGAATACCTACCGTAGATACAAAAAGCATAAAAGACTTTTATATCACGCGGGGCTTGTTCGCTGAAAACCGACAGAAGGTCCAGAAAATCTTCAAAAGTAAGATAACCCGTCCCGTCACGCGAGAATACTTCGCAGATACGTTTTTTAAAAGGATTCTCCTGTGAACATATATTTAAATAAACTAATGTATATTTCAAAATGAAAACATTAAGTAAATAATACTATGTAAATCAGGGCCCGACAGTCGAAAAGCAATACAGATAAGCGAAAGCTCAATTTTAGAAAGCAAAACTTGTTTAGTTATCGAACTCTTCATATGGAAAACCCATTTATATTTACAAAGATTGAAAAAGCAGCATAATTTTGCTACTCCATTTTCACTCGAAATGCGTCCACGGAAACGTTTAATCCGTAATTTAAATCTGCGCGGAATAAGAAAGAGTAGGTACCTATAATGATTTCACCAACAAAAGTTTAATTATGGAAATTGTTCAATTATCAGTTTTCGTTTATCTACCATCGTAATCGTCAAATATTAAGGAAAGGCGTAGGTCGCTTAAACGTGTAACGCGACGGTTAATAATCAAATGGTAAATTGCCGTAAGATCGTAGTCAATTTACAAATTGCGATTAGAGCAAACCGTGCGTGAATTACCTTGTATGAGAGTTTCGGATTTTTAATTAATTTATTGCAAAATTTGAGAACGTAAATGAGCATTTATTGGTTGCTCATGAGTGCGTGATTTCATTAAAACTGCTACATATTAGGAATGACATTTCTCTTTTCAGCTTCAAAAGGGATGATTTCGTCGCTCATCATAAATATAAAAATATACCTATATCCGTTCGAATGTAGGTTTGCATTTGCACTATGGGAGTTCATAGGAGCGGCTTGAAAAGTTCAATACAATGAGATGGGGTGAGGTTGAGTTTTTATGTATCGTCGGATGTTATAAACCTGATTACTGTTCAAGCAACAGGACCTGGAATTAATTAAAATTCTTTTTATTGTTCAATTTCATATATTAGTACTACAAAATTAGAGTGATGTAGTCGGTAACACGTGCTCCTCTGTTAATTTTCATGTTTGATCTCGAGCCGAAAATCGTAAGTTCCGTGTAGAACAATCTTCATTAGATTTTACTGAGCAAATGCAAAACAACGCATACCTACTTATTGTCTATCTATGCAGAGTGCTGTACAGCATTGACCCCCAAGCTTCTTAGAGGTCATGTTCACAGAACCTTTGTATCAATATCCGTTCCCAACACCCCGTAGATCAAAGCAATTAAGAAAGCATGTTTATATGTAAACCCCTTAAAGCTGAATACAGTATGAAAACATTAGTAAACAAAAAATGCAAACGTACTGCCCTTGCAATGCCGGTAATTAAACTGAAAGAGGATAATTCTCAGTTGTACATTTACAATTATAACATTCTAACAAAGCTATGGACAGAAAACACCAGTAATCACGTATTGCGCTATTAATTATATCGGCCGACAAAAACATTCATGTTTTAATTTATTTATTGAAATTTTCACCATTCTGAAACGAAAAATACGGCGAGAGAAGCTAAGGATGGAACTAATCAGTATAACGCAAGAAAGTATAATGATAAGGAATAGGAAATGATGTTCGTCGTGGCACTAATTGTGTGCTCATTAACGTCTATTCAGTTCAATTATACTGATATCGACTTGTTAAGGGCTAGTTCTTCTACCTTCATTAGGTTTATGAATCAAGTAATGGCAAAATAAATAAGTTTGCCGCTGCCTTAAAAATGGATCGTAGTCGATTCGCAAAGTTCCGGGTTCCGACACGATCCATTACCTGATATAAAATCCATGAAATATCTTATTGAATGTCAAATAGTTTTATTACCTGAGCATTTTTCATACATTTGAGAGGTACTTAGCTGGAAATTTGCAAAACACGGGATTGTAATACAAGCCACCACAAAATAAAATTACGTTTAATATGAAAACGTAACATTTATGGCGCTCTCGGGGAATAAACCCCCAGCTAAATTGCCGACAGTATTTTAGTACGCAACAAAACTAATGCAAATAGATGAGAAAAACACTAGAATTTCGAGAAAAGGAAATATTGTTTTCGGGTAATTCAAATGTAAAAATTTACCGACATTTAGGTACCCGTGATCAAAAAGCTTTTAGTATAAAGTGATTTGTTAATTAAATTCCAAAATTCGAACACTTTAGTTTTAAATAAGAAATTCTGGCAAATGCCATGCCCGTCATGCAGAGGATTTCCGGGAATGTTGCGTTTCAATTTCAAGTGATTTTCAAAGCTATGTACGTGTGAAGACCATTGTTTTCCCATTTATTTGTGAATAAAAAATTTCCTCCGACACTCTGCTGCTACTTCGTTGATATTTGTGCGTATTTTGGACATTACTTTTGCTCAATCGACGAATGATGTGGTTTGGGTCCACGATTTCTTTATTAACGTGGCGAATTACCGTCTAATATCTATACTACCAATATTTCCGAAGATGATAGAAAAGGCACTTAAATACAACTGACAGTACACCTAGAAGCGAATAAGCTGATCAATGAAAATTAGTTTGGTTTCCGATCTGGTTTGTGCACTACTAACGCTTTCCTAAAAGTGGTATCCTATATCTTTGAGAGAAATAAATTTACTGTATTACGGAAGGGTTTGAAAGACGGCCGAATTTTTAGCACTTGTCGGTTTCGCTAAGTTGGGAAAATAACACCAGCCCCTCACCAGCAAAATCCGTGCTTTGAACCGGATCAGAAACGGTAGCTGGCCGGCGGGCCCCCTGAACTCATACAATTTTTAGAATTAAAAAGTCCGATCTATAAGAGGTAGGGGAAGTTCTGATGAAGCTTGTAACAAGACTTAACGGTAAATAAACAATTTTCAATTGCGAATATACCTGTAAGAATTGCAGCGGAATTTTTCTTTCAGAATTAACGAAAACTAATTTCAGATGCGTGACTTTCATGTTGAAAACACCCAGATAACAAATTTCCTCAGCACCCCCTTTCATGGAAGGAATTTTGAAAAAAAAATTGCCACCAGTTTTTGTAACTCTGACTGAGAAAACATTAAAAGGAGTAATGCAAATTTCACCTTTTTTATGGGGGTGGCTCCCAAACGAAACACGTTGGATCCTCGGTTTGTTTGGAAAAAGGACTTGTTTTTATCCCATTTACCATCCATTTTTTATTTACTAATATGTAACACCCTGTATACGTTTGGAGTCATCTTTTTCAAATTGAAAAGGCCTTCTTTTTTTATCTTACATTTTTTACTAAACAATTAGCTTTCTTTTTGATAACCGATCAACAATTCTGCATTTTAATTTTGTGTAGCATCGTTCTGTCAAGATACCAATATCCGATCCACATATACCTTTTGAAGCGGAATCTAAATCTGCCATAATCATCTGTAATAATGTCTATTCTAACTGATTTCTTCTACTCCGACTTCTCCGATTGTCTGTGGAGGAATATAATTTATTTATCTTTCACATTAAAAGTTGCTGCAATGCAACCGCTTGGTCTCAGATTTTGCATACGCATGCCTTTAGTGGTGCTAAGTTAAACTTTAGGAAATGGGGGGAAGGGGGGTAAACACATGTTCTACCCTTCATGGTATTCTAATGTAATGAAAGGTCTCATCGAAATAAATTGGTTTGTACAATTAAAAATTAAGCCATCAGACGTTTCTAAACAAAGCTATCGTGCACACGGACAGACAGGCAGCAGTATAAAATTATAAACGATCTCGAGGATCGTTAATAATAACATGTCCGAGTTTTGCTAATGAACGATGCTTTATTATAGAAAAAACCCCGAAATTTCTCGCAAAACAATCAATTTTGTGACTAAAATGTTCGAGCTGTAAGGCTAAAGTCACATTCGGCTCCGTTGTGCAAGGTTCCTATTTAGGTGGAAAAGGCTCATGACTGAAAGAATAAAAATATTATTGTTAGTTGTATTCTGATTTAAAAAGCTATACCTATCGATTAGGAGGTTAAGCTAAAACTACGATAGGTACCTACACTTTACTTTTTAAAATCCAATCGGGAAATTAGTTCCAAACCTGAGCAAATAAAACTTCACAGTGTAAATAAAAGTATAACCAATAATGAAACTGAAATAAATACAACCTAAAAGTGATATATAGCCTAGGACTCTCCAAAGTTAAAAAATTAAATTAAGTTATCGCTCCCTATGGACAAACATGAAAGTTTTGTTAAGTACGACGCAAGAAAATAAATACGAGTAACAACATAGTTAATTAGTGGATCTTCTCCTTTTAGGTAGCTTCGTGCTGCTACAAAATCTGTAATATACAGACAAATCATTACAAAGGAGTATGATGGAAAGAGTTGAATTGCTCACATTCAAAGTTAGAAACTCCAGAGGCGGTGTTTCGTGTTATATTAAGCAAATAACTAAGGAAAATTGTCGGTTTGCAAGTATCACAATCACAAAGGTGATAATAATTGTTGAACCGGAACACCATTTTAAAGTAATAAAAATGATGATGTATTTTAACTTGATCGAAAACGCATTGACAGTATGAAAAAACTTTTTGCCTTAATGGCTTAGCAAAACCCTTATCCATAATCGTTTTGCTATTTTATCGACTCTTAAATGCATTAATAACAATATCGAGAGAGTGCACGTGCCGAATGGGAAATGTTTTACTTTTCAATACCATTAAGTTATATTTGAAGAAATGGACGTGTTCAGAAAAACCTCCCTAAAACTGTATCCATAAAATTCTATAACGACTTACATAAACACTGGGCAGCTGTTGGCAGAAATCTAAAAACCACACCGAATTACATTTCGCTTTTTGATGTTGCTCTTCCACGCTTTCTTTTATAAAAGAGTTTTTTTTCCGTTTTTCGTTGCGAACCGCTTCCGAAAGTAAGGACTTTAGCGACGCATCTTTAATTATTACGCGTGCATGGCTGCTGTTTAGTGATTTCGTATCAGCTACCGTCGCGAAATTTGAACCAGTATCCGCTGTTCAATGAGAAGGTCACTCTATTCCACATTAGACGTATGAATTATTTACAACGTGTTGAATCGGTCCTGAATAAATACTATAGAATACCACAGTAATGATACTAATAATATTACATAAAATGACTGTCTTGGAATATCGCTGAGAGTATAAACAGAATTGTGCATTAAGTAGTAGAAAATGTAAGAGTTTTAAATATATGCATTCTCACTTAGAGAGTTCTATGGACACCCTTGCCACCAAAGCAAATTTGTTGTACATAATCCATAACTAAATAAAAACCAAAACTTGAAAACTTGAAAAAATAATAATAAATTTTTTTTTATCTCGATGACCGCAATTTACAGTATAGATCCTGTCAATAAAAATACACATAAATAAGGACAATAAAAAACAATAATACAGAACAGTATTTAGCATCAACACATTAAAACTCTTCAAGATTATATGGACATTTTTCTATTAGTAGTTATCTTACATTTGCCTTGATATTGCATTTCTTTAATTTTCCGGAAGTTTATTAACACGTTGACTACTGATGGCTTGTTAACTAGTCTAAGTGGTTTCGAATTTAATTTAAGGCTAAGTTATCAATCAGTGTTTCCAAATAAGGGGTCGATATGCTTATTTAATTCGGATAAGGTCAGTATAAATAAGCCCATAAAGAGGACCTATTTAGTGATACTTAACGCATAAGGCGATAGGGGTCAATATATCTTCGACAGTAAAACAGCCCCGTCCTCCAATTGGAATTTCGCGGTCAATTATAACATATCCACTAATAGAGTCTATAGCACCGATCCTTGGACTCGTAGAATTGATGGGAAAACCTGAATTGTGGATTTCATAAACTAAAACCATTAATCATTGGAAAATACAATGCTCCTAGATGCTTTACGAATTTTAAAAACTCTTTAATATACACGAGGACTAAAATAAAGGTCAAATTTTTAAAGATTCATATTTTGAAACTGTTTCGGAAGTAACTTTATTTATACGAAACGCGTTTGTTTCTTTGTCCTCTGCTTACTCCATGCAGAAATTATAAAAAAAAAAGTTATAATCTTGTTGTGCCTAATTTTCTACGATTGACAATCTAGCTGATGGTCCAGATATAACCACTGCTTGATGAAATAGCGCCTACCTAGTACCAAATAGCGGATGTGTAATTCAAGAATGACAGAGGAGCAACGGGAAGAAATGAACCCCCGGGCACCAAAATAGCAGCTAGCATTAGATACCTACCATAATACAGGTGGTCGAATTACATAGTATTAGCGACCAAAAGATCGCATGAAAAAGCTGTAATGGGAAAAATATCATAGAAGAAACAACAAAAAAACACTATTTCTTAGTACAAATAAACGAATAATTGCTTTGTAGACAACTTTTTAAACAAAAATCTTTTCTACAATTTATTTAAATAAATGTTTGTCAAACCCTTTCAGTATGAACAGACTCGTTAGTCTGAAAGTCTTCAGGGAGTTTTCCTACTTATTTTAAATATTATTTTAGAATAAGCAGAATTTCAGCTGCTCTACCATCCCAATCCACTATACAATATTTACAAATATTCATGCCCGAAGCCAGATTCGGATGATAGACCTCAGTACCTCAATCGAATTTTCCCTCCACTCCGCCGAGCACGTTAACAACGCTTTTGCGATTTGTGCCTTCTTCCTAATATGTGCCTTTAAAACGGACAATAAATGTATCTGTTTACACATTAGTGAACTGTTTGAAATGAAGAGTGCATGTTTGACCTAATTTGTAAAAGGTTTAGAAACTAAGTTCAGTACCTAACTCCGCTGACTTGAATTAATGCAAATTAGTTTGCTCTTGTCATGTAGGATTTGATTGAATCGCAGATTTGACATTCAGATTAGTTTAGCACGTGCATGTCATATACGTGTGAACGGTGAGGCATGCATTTCACAAACGTCACATCTTACAGAGAATAATGCACAGCTTTCTCACTTTTAACTCTTGTAATTTCTCCATATTCATTAACGGTACACGTACGGTCATTGGTTGATTTCCAGTCATTTGTTTTGGAACTATATCTGGGTCCACCTCGCGGAAACGCTTATACACTCTACAATTATTCACTAGTGAGAAATTAAAATTATAACGTCAAATACAGAAACACGAAATTACCTCAATATTTCCTTTCTGGTGAAAAAAGTGCAGTCCTACAAGATAAAAACTATTTAATGGCGACACATAGCGACCTTAGATACCTGATAATTTTCCAATTGTTGTTCTGTAAATGTTACTAATTTATTCCCCATGCTGCACGACAAGAAGTAGACGACTCAAAAGGTTCTGATGTACATGCTTTCGTAACCCTGACAACGTAGAAGGTGCGGCAAAAAGTAATTTGTTAAATAGGTATCGATCTTGAACACGACAACACAATTAATTACGAAAGCCAGCACTTGGAATGCACCATTTACTGTAATTTCAAGACTAACGGCACGAAGAACCGATGAGTCAATAAGTAAAAATGTCACAATGATGTACAAATCTGATATTCTCTTGATAAAGTTATATATAAACAAGGCAGTTTGCTGATGTGTGAAATCAAAGCGAACCAGTTTTTATAAGTGGTTTATTACACCTTAATTTTAATTCATCGAGTGCCCACTAATTTTGGAAGTTTGATTGCAACTTTTTCGCCTTATTACAAAGTGCTCAAAATAAAGACGTAAGTCAGATAAATAATACGGTCTTTTTAAAACACCTTCCTTAGCTTTCTCATTACTTTGGTGTAAACGATAATTTCAAATTTTAAACTTCAAAAGAATCCACTGTGCGTAATTAAAAGTAAAACGACTTTGTGTTTTCTGGCACCCTACCTATTCCCAATCACGATGTTTGTAATCACTACACTGATGTGCCTGAATAAAATTGAATATCATTTTCTTTATACTTCAATATACGGAGATTCCTGGCAAACATTGTAGACCCGAGGGAATTGTTCCCAAAGTGAAATGTATATCTATGAACTGTCTGGATTTTCGTTTGGGTTCAATGCGGAAATTTAACAAGTGTTTAATGATGGGAAAACAGAGCAAGCCTTACCTAGTTTTCTCACCTCCCTTGCGAAGTGTACCGTTGTTCCCTATGAAACGAAAGTTTTTCTCTTACTATAACTACAGCATAAAACATACCTACCTAATATATGTATAATAATTTCCTAATTCCAGTATTTAACTACTGTATACAGAATAACAAAATTTTATGAATTACTTTAGCGTTAATACTGTGTTTCCTATAAGATATACCAATTGGATAAACGTGAAAGATAGACACTCAAGAAAGTGATCTCTTGACGGTATAGCTCTTTTTGTAAAATGATGTCCAAAATAGTACTTACTGTCTTAAATCTCTGTGGCTATTGCAACTAGGGCCTAAGTGTTAAGGGCGGGCGGATGGTGAAATTTTGTAACCGTGGGAAGCACACAGAGAGAGAAATACCTCTAATACGAGGAATCAAATATAGAGAAGGAGTTGAAAATCTGAGGTGAAGAGTGCCAGAATGGACACAACAAAGCAATGGCAAAAGATAGTAAAACAAGCCATGGATCTGCTAAAGATTCAGGGCATAATAAGTGTTGTGTCTGTGGTCGCAACCCTTACCAATCATATAGTCGCTTATGAAATTACGATATGTGTGGGTGAATTTGAATTAAAAAGCTGCTTTAAATAGGCATTAATTGAATTTGCTTGTACGAGATTATATATAGATGTCGAGATGGCGCTATATCGTGAAATTGCATTAATATACAATCGAGCATCTTCACGGTGGATTTCACAAGCAATTTCATTTAACAAAATTTCCGGAGAGAAATAGATTTTCATAAATTTAATTTAAGATTAATAAAAATCAAGCGCATTTGATAGATGATAATTATTAACTCAGTTTCATAGCTCTCCGAATGTGGAAAAATATATTATACAGGGTGTCCCTAAAAGGTCTGTACAACGCGCTACCATGGGTTCTTGGTATCAAAATAGGACGATTTAACCCAACTTACCTCTATCCAAAAGTGCTTCGGTAAGGCGCTATCTACCGCCAAAGATTTAAAAAAAAAATCGTTATTTTTATTTTATCGGAAAATGGTTTTGCCGATTAAAATGAAATTCGGGATGTGAATGTCTAATGTAAAAAGGGTCTTTGTGATATCATCGTTTTGATTGTAGTTGCTATGTAGGTGGTAAAATACTGACCATCCACATCTGAAGAGGTCTAAAACTTTTTAACTACTATTTTGACGGTTCTGAATTTTTAGACACTGATAGACAGTTTACTTGCAAGCATTTTTTGTCTCTTGATGAATATCGCTATCTGTGATGGTTTACGAAAAAAAAAAAATTAGGCATGATGAATAGCATGCACCATACATGCGATTGTTGCTCAAAAACCATAAGTGCAAGCAAGAAGTAGGCTATGACGATTTGGAAACCTGTAAGTATACTGCCTAACGCATTGGCGACCATTTCCACGACAGTATCCAAACACTAATAGCATATCAATTAACTCTGCGTTACTGTATTGAAAGGCCATATTACAATTTTAACAATGAAATGTTAAGTCTTCAAGCAAAACGTAAATTGTTCAAGTTTAAGAAACAACAAACAAACGTTATGCCACTGTAAGGTTTCACAGCCATCTTTTGATTTTTTGAGGAACAATCGCATGTATGGTGCATGCCATTCATCATGCCTAAATTTTTTTTTTTCGTAAACCATCACAGATAGCGATATTCATCAAGAGACAAAAAATGCTTGCAAGTAAACTGTCTATCAGTGTCTAAAAATTCAGAACCGTCAAAATAGTAGTTAAAAAGTTTTAGACCTCTTCAGATGTGGATGGTCAGTATTTTACCACCTACATAGCAACTACAATCAAAACGATGATATCACAAAGACCCTTTTTACATTAGACATTCACACCCCGAATTTCATTTTAATCGGCAAAAACATTTTCCGATAAAATAAAAATAACGATTTTTTTTTTAAATCTTTGGCGGTAGATAGCGCCTTACCGAGGCACTTTTGGATAGAGGTAAGTTGGGTTAAATCGTGCTATTTTGATACCAAGAACCCCTGGTAGCGCGTTGTACAGACCTTTTAGGGACACCCTGTATATATATAGTAAAAAACACAAAGGGAAATTGTTCTCCTTTGTTCCAAAGGAGTGCAGTTGTCAACTTGGAATAAGATCAAAGGAGGCAGTATCGGTATCGTGTTTAAGCAGAATTTAAATTGTGTAATATGGAAATAACTTATCCAAACCTCCACTGTTCAAATATGAAATGAATGTAGGTATTTTTCTCACGTTGTATATTGACTGTTAAATAATGTTCTAGTGTTTTATTAATAGTAATTTTTCAGAAATTCAATAAATCTTATTAGTTTCATTTTTCTAAGATCACGAGTGAGGGCTTGAATAAGCTCTTATTGCGATGTCAAGTTTCAAAGAAGGGTAGACACATTCAGTCGATATACTCACGAGATAGTATTATTAATGGCGTTTTAAATTCATCTTAACAAGATGTAAAAATGAGTCTTACAATCTCAGTCTCTCATTTCCGAGGCAAAACAGTTTTTGCCAGATATGTACTCCTTTTTAACGTTACGGCAAGCACACTTTAGGAGGGTAACGTTGCTTTACATCCAGAAACATTATTTAGATCTTGATAGTTGAATATAGGCTACGTATAATCGAAGATTTAGATGTAATTATTAGTTTCTTTTCTACTGATTACATTTTGGCATTTTCCTGCATTACCCTTGTTTCATCGGGAAATGACATTTTTCAGAAAGTCATACAAGTCAAACTGGGACACCAGTCTAAACATAAAACTGGTCAATTTAGAAAATAACTGAGTTTATTGTAACAATGTAAATAAATCTTAAAAGTGAACTCAAGCATATGAATAATGTATAAGCTTTACATTTATCGAAAAGCTTTTCCGTTATAACGACTGATGCTCTCTGATACACAGAGGGCCATTAGCTCCATCCGTGCTCTAGGTCATCCCTATAGGGAGTAGCGGTATGACTTAGGCCAATAGAAAAGCTCTCGGCAACGTTTGTACCTCGTCGTCCTTTTTTGTATATCTGTAATCGCCTTGTAAAATCCTTTTTGGTACATCCTGCATTCGTTTTCTACCATGAGCGATGTGTCATATACATTTTTCCAATGAATTTTTATATCTTGCATCTTATACTATGTGTTTTTAATACAGTCCACATAAACGGATCTGATCAGAAGTGGATGTCCTGACGCGCAAACCTTAGGCGCAGATCCGGCTGACCCAAGATACTTCGATAAGGCGTTGGAGTTGATTTGATCCGCTTACTCTACTTCGCCTGCCGTTCTAATTCGCGAACTCGACTTGACCCTATTCAGCCCATGGGCTCGGCTGACGCACTACCTTATAAATTAACCGCAAATATAGTTTGATACCCAACATTCATTGCTGCTTTTTTTATGTTAAAGTATTCCATACTAAATCCTTGGAGGTTAAGCAATACCTACTCATCGGTTTCGAAAAAATAAGTGGTTTTACGTGGAATTAATAATGTAGGGGAGGCTATAGATCGAAGTAATTATTCCTTTATTTTTAGTAACCATGAGCCTATCACATTTTTGTAATTTTTAGGGGGAGTATTAATAAAAAACCAAAATCCTCTAAGCGAACTTGTTAATGTATAAAAACAAAGGTAAACGCCAACATTTTTATTGCAGGTCTATAGTACATCGCTTGGTCTTCTGTTCTGATTTTTTCACCCGATATTTTGTTCAAAATATTTCAAAGTCGCTATACAGTTATAAATTTTGTTCGGGAAGCGACTAGACTCGACATGTGTTTTCCACAAAAGGTGTCCAAGTTTTTGTTGTTTTCGTGGACTAAGGTTGTGCTGCTTGCCCACGGTTTTGGTTATATCTGCAAGACTGATACGCAGCAATATGTCTTTGAGTCTTCGGTATTATGCGTTGGGACACAAACAAAAATTCGGTGCTTTTATACAATTTTCAGTAACCCGTTGGAATTCGTGCAAATTGTGCGATCAAACCTTTACTTTTTGTTTGCTTTTATATTTAACTCATTTGGTATTATAACGAATGCTTTAATCCAAAGCATGTTTTCCTGCTATTAACGTTAACTCTACAAAAACAAAACCCAACATTCCAGACTCGACAAACTTCTAAACAAGGATTGTATAGAGAAAATTGTCAATACTACAACGCTACTGAAAGGACGGTGGGAAAACAAAACTAGGTTAAAAATATTAATTTGTTGACCGCGTACAATTTTTTCCGTACGATAGGTATCTTCTATTCAAAGAGCAGTTAGGTTTTATAAAAAATTTTAGGGTTTTCTTTAACACTTTAACACAAATCAATTAAATCGGCAGCATTGAAACTTCATTTACAGTTTGGAAGTAAAGCGAGCAACGGCAAATGAAACAAAAACTTTGTTTATTTTATAAATCACGTTAATCTGG